AAGAATTAATTGGAAAGACAGCAGCAAACTTCACAATAGCAGGATGCAGTTACTTTGCAGTAACTTGAACTCAGGATTACTTAATAATTAGAATATGCTGTTAGTTTATTAATCTTAAATCTATCACAGACTCAGGTAAGACACATAACAGTCAACATTAACTAAAAATTGAAAAATTATTTATTCATGATCTCAATAAATTATGTGAAGTTCCAAGTATTTTTTTTAAGAAAGCCTTGCTTATACTCCTATTAAATTTGATTCACATAAAAACTAACCATAATTTCAATCCCTGCCCTTTATCTGTTGCCCTGTTGATTCAAAGGCCAAACCTAGGGGTGTCAAACACTATTTCATTGAGGGTCACATCAGGGTTGTTTGACCAGGGGGACCGGGATGGCATGGCCAAGGCTGGCATGGCCAGCTTGGCATTACTTATGTTGGGGCGCCCATGGTGGCCCAAGTGCAATGGCAACGAAAAAGGGCCCCCAAGCTCCTTTTTCGGCTGCAATGGCCTGCAACTCTCTGCCAGGGAAAACGGAGCTTAGGAGGACCGCCTGTTTCCAGGGCAGCCTCACAGGCCAGATCTAAGCACCCCGGATCCGGGCCTTGAGTTTGACACCCCTGGCCTAACCATATATGTTACAGGCTATTTGTGGGAAAACTGGTATCAATGAAAAGTGAGGCTAAAGCTCTTTCACCTTTATGCACATCATAGTCAGGAACAGATTTTAGCACAGTTTGTGATAATCTACACACCTAGTGAGCCATTGAACCAAGACTGATTGAAAAATAGGACTTCACTCTTCCATCTGAATTGTGGCGAATAAAAGGCTTGTTCCATATGATAAGACAGAGGAAGAACAGATCTATTAAGATGGATATTCCGATGTAAGCATTATGTTTTATTCATGGCAGAAGAATGAAGTTGATTAAGTGATTGATTTTACTAGGATCAGTTATAAGGGATTAAAATTAATCATTGTGTACCACCCAGAGTCACTTTTCATGAGATGGGCAGCTAGATAAATTTAATAAAATAAAATAATAAAAATAATACACGTTTATACTGGAGATGAAAATTCAATCATTGGCATCAGTTTATCCAAAGCTGAACAAAACTGGAAGGATCCAGAAGAACCTCAGGAACTTCACCACTTGAAAAATCCCACAATAACTTTAATTATGAGAAATTACTCCTCCTTTGTTGCAATAAACCTCCAGCCCATATGGCTTCTACAGATCCCACACTGAGTTACATAGACCATGCATATCCAAAAGTGACTTGCATTGTGCTTTTGTTCAGTACAGTCTGACCTTCAAATCCAGTTCTTTCAATACATTTTTATAATACAAGAAAAAAATAATGTAAAATATTCATTCAGTAAGATGCTCCTTATCTTGCTCTATTCAAAAAGAGATGACAGCTAATATTGCTTTTGGCTAGGGGAGAGATGGTGTCGAAACAAAAAAAGAAAAGGAGAGTTCAGGTATAACACTGATAAGTAATAAAAAAAATGCCATTGTGCCGTAGAAGGAATTAGCCCCAAGTCACAAACTTTTTTGCTGGTGTACATTAAAAGTCTTGGAGGTGAATGACAATGATACTCAGAACATGTTTTCAACTTGTACAATAAATACCATCATTAAAGTTAGGTGTTTGCTTCAAAATAACATCTTGCAAAGAAATGTGATGGATACATATGAAATTACCAAAATGTTTCAGCAAAGTTTTTATTTCAGCAAGGTAATTCAACACATATTATTAACAAGCTCACTACATATTTCTATGAAACGAATCTGATACCTGTGGATTTACTGAAGTGCATTCTGGAAAAAACAACATATTAAATCTTTATTCTTTCTTTTTTGGTACCTATTTCTTATAATATCTCCTGAAAACAAGAAGTTTCTATCGGAAGCATTATTACCTGCACAATCCCTAAGGTTCAGATAAGAAATTACAAAGAATAGTAAGCTGTCTGCAGCTTTCCAATACCAAATATATAGTTTATGAACAACTGCGATGCCAAGTCCCTAGACATGTAAAAAGATACATAATGCTTCAAAATGTTTAATTACAAACGTGTGCGATATGATTAACTGAAATGTACTGGAGAGATTCGATCTTGAAAAATCATACCCTTTATTATGCTGCTAGAGGCATAAACAACTAGCCTACATCCCAGTTTTTTTTTAAAAGGAAGTCTGAAAATGCCAAATGGAGTGAAAATCCTGTAAAGGTGATAAAGCAAACACAAACGGCCTGGCTGGATTTTGTTTTAACCAAGAGCTGCATTCCGTAGATTATCTGAGCAGCAGGCTTCAATGCGTGCTTCTACAGTAGCTCCTTTGAGAAGACTGGGTCTCCTTGTCTTTTTAAGGCTTATTGAAGCAAATGCAGTACCTGTAAACTATTTCATACAGGTAGCAAACAGGTATTCTAGTAAATTCACCACAATCTACAGGAAAATACCTTAAAACAGCGGGCAATAGGTTATAGCTATCATTACGCACACTTTTAAGTTATACAGTCTTCGTGTCACTTCTACTCAGCTTTTAGCTCCTGTCTTCTTACATTATTAAAGAGCATCTGTAAATCCGAGCTGTTCAATTCGGCACATGCCGGGAAAACATGAAATCATCTGTTTTCTCGTGTTCCGTTTCGCATTCTGTACATCTTCAAAATATTAATTTTTTTCAGGGCCTTCAGAAACAACAGTGCCTTTTTCGTGAAGTTCAAATATACGACCAGATAGATTCCAGAGGCGGAATTTAATACTTTTCTCTTCGAGACACAAACTGCTTTTAGTTTGTTCTGTGCAAAGGTGCCCAGATCAAAGGCAAAGCAATAGAGATCTTTCTTGCCCAGATTCGTTTTCTTTTTCTGGAATTCTTGGCAGCAGGGCAGAACGGGTCAATCCCCAGAATTTTTGAGGCGACAACTCACTCTTGATGGCAGTAAACTTCCAACCCATATGGCTTCCACAAATCTTACACTGAGCTATAGTCCATGCGTATCTAGAAGTGGATAACATTTATGTTAGTCTTTATGATTGACAAATATATTTACAAGGTTGGCAAAAAGTTTATAACGACATATAAAGCAGAGTTCAAACTATGCATATTATAGCATTTAAAATAAAGGAATTCATATGCAGGCTCATTTGCAGAACTGAATGTGAACAATAAAATTTCAGAATTGGCCTTGAACTACTTTGTTAAGGATTTTTCTAAATCACCAACCAGAAACCTGTTTCGATATAAAGCATCAGTTTCCTAAATGGCACTATTTCAAAACAACTGACAGTCTAATAATATATGGGGATTGAGAGTACTTCCCTATAAATGTCAGAATCGGTTAAACCACATATGGTTGGCACAAATTAAACATGTACTTGAATCATAAAAAAAATTTATGATGTTTTTTTTTAAAAAAAAAATCTCTACATAGAGAAACAAGCCAGGCTGTTTGTCTTTCCCTTCTCTCTGCACTCGGCACTGAGGAGATGAAGTTAATGAACTTTCCATTTTCTTTCTGTTTATATTGAAATTCCTTGAGGGCTGAAGTACATGCCAGGCAGCTCCTGCTTCAATAATGGAGAAATAATGGCACACTGAAGTACACAAAGCAATAAGCCTTCTCTGGACTCTGTTGACTGAGGAATTTCAGGTACTGGGTTTAAGGAGAAGAGCCCTCTCTGCCATAATCCCTGCCTTCTGGAATATCTTGCCTTCTGAGGCGAAATCCACCTCTATGATTCTGGCTTTCCAGAATTGCCTTAAAACTTGGCTCTGCCAGTTGACCTGGGACCCCAATGAAGGCACACTATGCTGGAGGTGATTGACGGAATGAGAGACAAACATCTACCCCTGCACCATCCATGCTGTTGGTTTAAACTTTTTATTTAGTTAGTTGTTAAAATTAATTGTAATTTTTTTTATACTTTCATATCTATTTCTAGCGTAGTATCTTTCTGGTGTTCCCAACCTGTGGACTGTGATGGGTTTGCAACTGGGCTGTGGAAACAGCTGGCAAGCATGCTCATACGTGTATTCTCACTTGCTAGAGCAACCGAGTGCGTGCGCTTCATTTGTGTGAGTGGCAGACATGTGTGCACACCATTTGCGGAAATGGAGATGCACATGCATCTGCACTTGCTGGCCACTTGTGTGTACTGTCCGTCTCCGCCCCTCCCCACCCCCCGCCGGTCCGCAAAGCCAAAAAAGTTGGGGAACTCTGCTTCATATTACCATAAGGTGCCCAATAGTGAGACGGATATTATAAACATAAAAAATATGAATAAAAAAACAAAAGAATAAAATAAAATATAAAATAGAATAATAAAAAAATTAAAATAAAGAAAGAAATAAAATAAAATGAAATAAGACTTACCCAGGAAACCAGCTGTGGTCTGTGGAAGATCTGCCATTCAGATTCAGATTGCAGGCCTTGTAGACAGTAAGGGTCTCGTGCACATAGCCGTGAGGATTCACATAGGCTGCCATAGGTCCACATAGGGACAAACTACAAACAATTGTAAAACATGATTTTGGAAAAAGCACAAAGGTGAACTATTTCTGAAAACTGTACACCCCCCCCAAACTAAGTATTTTATTTAACAGATATATCTGCCAAGCTTGAAAAAGCCATCAACATGTCAGTTATTACAAAAAGCTAGCATTGGCAAGAATAATGGAAACCAAAGGTAATATTTGCCATTTTGCATATTTCTGGAGTCATCCTTGTCAGGTCAACTTCTATGGTTAATGCGCTATAAAATTTTTCAGAAGTAAAATAAAATTATGTTGTTCCACAAAGCTCCTCCAATTTTCACCTGTATATATGGAAGCCATCAATATGATCATATATAACTCTATTTCTCTGTATCATCTGCATCAAGAGAGACTAAGCAGACTGCAGCTTGGTAAGAGCTAATATCATAAGCAAGATCCCATCAAGATAAAGACACTGTAGTATGAATTCCTTTATCTAGGAATTAGTGAGGCTAGCTACCCTGGATGGATTGGAGGTAGTACAAAGACTGAGACACTTCTAAATCCATGTTTACCACCTGAGGTTCAAGCAGGCTTCATAGGTAACATTTCCCCCCAAAGATAGCTGGTTTATTAACATAATTCCAAAACACAACCTCTTGGTCAAAATCATAATTGATTTAGTAAGTCCAAGGATGTACCACTAGGAACTTTCCATGGGAAGATTGGAGATTGGCTTAGAAGCTACAACAAGTGAAAAACATTGTATCTGAACTGCCAATGCAATTCACCTACAGTGTAATTGCTTCTGTCCTACAGGAGCTGCACTGGATGCTAATATCCAAGCAAGTCAAGTTCAAGGAGCTCACAATGACATATCAAGCCCTATTGGCAACCGTGAAGATACTCCCAAATCAGGGATGATTGCTTTGATTGCTTTGGGGTTCGAACTTGAAACCCTGACACCTATACAATTTCAAACCTAAGTGGATGTTTTCTTATTAATCTCTACAACAACTGAGATTGAGCAAGGAGAGCCTTAGCATGCCTATTCTTGTGAATAATTCACTAGGCAGATACTCAAGGCAGGCTATTTGGATCCCAATTGTGGAATTCCCCTCTTCCTTAATCACAATTCTTACTATTAGCTTCAGGTCCTAACCAAGACTTTTACTGCATTGTTCCATGTGCAGCTTTTTTTGTGTGTGTGGTCACATTTCAGTTTTAAAATCAGTAATGTTATATTGATTTAGATTTTTATTGTGTCCTGGTTAGGGATTATTTTAATCTGAAACTTCATGACCTGAAAATATCTTATGAATTAATATGCATTACTCAATTCCCAAACATCTGGATAATTGCTAGATAATTATTTTACACGTCTTTGTCTTTATTAAAAGGTATCCTGCTTTTTCCCCAAGAAGCTCATGATGGTATATAATATATGAGGCAATGCAAACTAAGAGATGTACAAAGTAATTTTAAAATCTTACCTGAATATTTCATTTTTAGTAGTTATTTCTGTATCTTGGCAATGCTTACAGCAAAGAGAGGTACACTACAAAACAAAAAGCAAATGTTAGAGAGAAAAAGAAAACTGAGATCGATAAGCTCAACTTTTTACTCATAAAAGATTTTAGATATAAATTGCCATTCTATAAATAACACTAAGTATTGAACTATTGTATTTATTAATTTAGTTTAATTATATCCTACCTTTATTACATAAGTAACTTAAAATGGTTAAACATACCTAATACTCATTCCTCCTGCTACTTTTGTACAATCACTATATCAATTCTTATACTATCCAGATAATATAGACAAATAAACAGGGTTATATCAAGTTTAACATTTATTCAAATTGAAATCACTGCAAAATATATGTTTATATTATGGAAAATACAATTCTTGCCAAGAAGACTAGAACCAGATGACTGAAAAAATATTTCAGTAAAAGTATAAATTGTTTTGGGGGATATCATTTCATTAATAATATTATTATTACCTGGAAATGATCCAAAAATACATGGTAATCTTTGTTCCCACCCCAGAGCCCCACAACCCTTCGGTGAATTACATGCAAAATTTTGATCTGCTCTTCAGACATACACCTGATAAAAGTAGGGGTTTTTTTTGTTTAATGAGAAAAGAAATGAAATTACACATATACATGGTTCATATGTTCAAACTATCACATGAAAGCTAAACCATCACTGGGTAGAAAAATTTAAATTGTTAATTTAAGACTCTCTTCTGAAATTGCCATGCATATCTTCTCTGAACATTGATCATACCTGTAAAAGCTAGAACAATTGTTATTTTGAATAGTCAGGGCACAATCAATATACTGGATGATTGTTTTCAGCATACATTTAACATTTAAGTCTCCTCAAAAGTAAGTCCCAATAGGATGAATCTTTTAAGCATAACACGACTAAAGGAAGTTAAGACTTACTCACTCACTTTGTTCATAATATCTAATTCACAGCGCAGTCTCTGAACAGCACTACCAATTTTAAGCAGCTGAATTCGCAAAACATCATCAATGGGTAGGCATGCTGCAACTCTATATGAAAAATCTGAAAGAAGAACAAGGTTCATTCTCAGAGAGACAATAGACTTAACCAAGCTACATTTAGGCAGAGTACTAAAAATAAACTGTCACTATTCACAATTAACTTCTCATCTGGAACAAATCAGATTGCTTTCTCCAGTTAGATATTAACTATGGATAGTTTCATTACAATTTGTATTCTATAAATGTAATAGTATATCAAGGACTAATATAATTATAATAAACAAGCAGATCTGCTACTTTGACAGTGACGCTATTGCTCTTCTCATGCAACTCTACAAAGCCACATTACACATATAGTAAATTAGGGCAAATGTATAATAATAATCAGGTTAAAGAAAGGAATGACAAATTGATATTTACAGTGATAGTTCTTGTTTATTACAGTGTTGTCATCTGCAGAGCTACATAAAGTTGCCCATTTTTCTATGTGATTTCCCATATTAATGGAAATATATATTGTAACTCAACAACTATAAGCTGCAACACACAAGATACTGCAAATGGTTGCCACACAAGAGTGTAACATGTAGCTCTTTTGATGTTCTTCTAACAATAGCAATAGCAGTTAAGTTAGGTTATGTTTATTGGTTTTGTATGCCGCCCACTCCCGAAGGG